AGATTGAAAACAGGGAGAAACTTACATAGGATAAGGTCTTAAGTTGCTAACTAATTCCTTTGTATGTGTATATTTGAACACAGGAGTTAATGTATTGTCGACTCTCTGTTGTTTTGCTGTTGTAATTTTTCAGTTTTTTAATACTGGTAGCCAGATTTTGTTCATTTTCATAGTTTCTTCCTTTCTGTTGAAAGTATTAAAAAACTCAAAAATGACAACAGCAAAACAGAGAGTAAACAATTAGGCACATCAAATCACTCTCAACAAAAGATTCCCCCCAGGCACTTCCAAGCCATTAAATGCTAATCAAGGTGGTCAGTTGAAACATTCACACCTAGCTCCAGCAGACAAAAGTCCTTTGTCCCACCCTGGTCATTCCACAGATATATAAACCAATTTTCCTACTTCCAACAGACCTCACTACCTCTGAGGATGCTTGCCATAGATGCAGGCGAAACGTCAGGAGAAAATGCCTCTAGAACATGGCCATATAGCCCGGAAAAACCTACAACAACACCGGAGTTAATGTTTCTTTCATGTAACCAGTAAAAGTCTCTATAAAATTAAAATGAGATTACTATTTTCCCCAATTAAAAACATAATTTTTGTCTTGCCTTGTAAACTGCCTCGAAGGCTGAGAGGGGCGGTATAGAACTGTACTAAATAATAAATAAATAAATCTATTCCTCTGATAGGTCTAGTTGTGAACGGAGATTACAAATGCTAACAGGACTGCTACCAGAATGGAAACAAGACGGAGGTGCCTCTGTGTTGGAAAAAATCCAAAGTGACTAAAGTGCTATACACCATCAATCCTTAAATAATCAAAATCCTGAAGGCACAGAAAGTCCCTAAACAGCTGAATAAAGGGCGAATATGCTCATTTGCTATACAGTACTGAGAGTTTCTTGGGGATTAAATACACGGAATATTAGAGCAGTTGGGAATAGAGAATTATGGAACAAGGCATGGCTGGATGATAACACTGAAAATAAACACTTTGTTGTCTCTGGTCCCACTTATCAGTAAAAAAGGTTGAATTATTACTGTCTGAAAATTAATACAAGTTGCCCTATGTTTCTGACTGGTACAAAAGAGCTACTTCTAGAACTAACAACCACCATGTCAGACTACATAGAGAAGTATGTGGACAATTTCAACAGAAAGGAGGAAACTATGAAAATGAATAAAATCTGGCTATCAATATTTAAAAACTCTAAAATCAGGACAGTATATAAAGAACAACACTCAGAAAACAGGGGAATTCCAGACAGGAATCAATTAGGGCCAGCTAACACTTCCCAACAAAGGATTCCCCCGGCAGGAAGCAGCCAGGCTTTGAAGCTGCAAGGTTATTCAATGTTAATAAAGTTGCCCAATTGCAACATTCACACTTGTCTCCAACAGACAAGAGTCTTTCTCCCACCCAGGACATTCCACAGATATAAAAACCTCACTTGTCTAGTTTCCAACACAGTTCACAACTTGAGGATGTCTGCTGTAGATGAGGGAAAAACGTCAGGAGAGAATGCTTCCGGAACATGGCCACCACTAATTACCTTGGCACAATTCTACGGCATTTCTCTAACAAAGGGGGTAAATTCACAATACTACAAATTCCAGATTATGTTGTATTAAGTCATGGCAGTTAATGTGGAGTCAAACTGCTATTATTCTATAGTGTGGATACAGCCAGTATCTCTTAAAACTTATTAATTGGATTTATACCCCCACCCCCTTTTCAGAATGGGTTTCAAAGATCATCAGCCATTGGCAATTAATTCATTTTGTCCTGCTTTGTTCTTGTTCCTTTGGGAAATTCCCTTTTTAACACGATTCCTGCTTACAAAAATACTACCGTATAAAAACAGTGAGCCAGAAGGATTTCCTATTTGAATATAAATACTGTAACAGGCAATGAGATTCTGCAGCAGACTTTCTGGCACATCCAGCTGGAGCAGCTGTGATATCACGGAAAATTAACAATCATTCTTAACTAATGAAGGACACAAAAGACCTTAGAATTATGATGTAAACTAATAGACATTATTGAGGTTTTAGAAAGTATAAAAGCAAAGGAACAGAAGCACAGAGAAAGAGGGACAGAGTGTAAAGATTTATTTTGTCATAATCATGTTTTACTTTTCGTATAACAAATTCCAGAGAAAACCAGGTTTGAATCTGTCTTATATTATTTCCACTTTTCTTAGTGAAAAAAAAAATCACCTGGAAGTTAATATACTGGTGGTGAGCAGGATGCCTTTAATCACATGTGTTTTTAGGACAATCTTGTTGCTCACATAAACCAAAACATCTCTGAAATATAGAAGTGTCTTGCTCTCAATGCTTCGGGCACCGCTGGGCCTTACTCCCCCTTAGCGATACATTTGAATTCCCTTTTCTATTTGTCTGAAATGACAGGTCTGATCCTTTGCAGAGGTAACTGAATGTATGAAAAATTCCATGTCAACCAGATTTTTTTTGTCGTGTCAGGAGCGACTTGAGAAATTGCAAGTCGCTTCTGGTGTGAGAGAATTGGCCGTCTGCAAGGAGGTTGCCCAGGGGACACCCAGATGACTTGATGTTTTTATCATCCTTGTGGGAGGCTTCTCCCATGTCCCCGCATGAGGAGCTGGAGCTGATAGAGGGAGCTCATCCGTCTCTCCCCGGATTTGAACCTGCGACCTGTCGGTCTTCAGTCCTGCCAGCACAGGGGTTTAACCCACAGCACAGGGGTTTAACCCACTGGGGGCTCCTGTCAACCAGATGCACAATGTAAATTATAAATAGGTCTTTTTTCGTGTCAGGAGCAACTTGAGAAACTGCAAGTTGCTTCTGGTGTGAAAAAATTGACCATCTTCAAGGACGTTGCCCAGGGAATACCCGGATGTTTTACCGTCCTGTGGGATGTCACCGCATGAGAAGCTGGAGCTGACAGATGGGAGCTCACCCCACTCCCCGGATTTGAACTGTCCTATAAAATAAATAGGTGAAAGGAATGTGCAAAACATAACTGAGCAATCATTTTTAAAGGCAAATGGCAACTAAATTGTGATTTTAATAGCGGTTTAATATGACCAAAATGAATGAAAAAGCAAGATTTTGAGATTAGGAAAGGAGAAAAAGAGGCTTGAAAATAAAAGAAAACAGAGTAGACAGAATCGTGATGAACAGATGAACAGAGTAATGTTTTACAAGATCACAAAACAAAGAATGGGAAAACATATTTTGCTGGCAAGAAAAGCAAAAAGTAAGCGGATTCGATGTTTGAAAGTTACAGTGGCTGAAGGCTGCAAGGCAGAGTAGAAAATGGAATAAAAAAACCAGGAGGAAAGAAATGATGGAAGCCTGAAACTGAATAGATAGGGCCAAGGATGCTTAGCTAAGGGGATATTTAGGTCAGTTTCAGGAGGGTCTATGAGTTGTTGGTGGGCAAGGAATGGTCAGAAAGGCTGTGAGGCAGAAGAACTAGTGGACAGAAATTGTATGGAAATGCTTACAATTCTGGTCAAATTGAAGCTCCTATGGATTTCCTCATAACCCTCCCTCAAGGCTACACACCAGTGGAAGAGCATCATGTCATACATTCATTTCATTAGAGTATAAAAATCAAGTTCTATATACAATATCAAATACTATTACAAACAAAACATATATTTACGTAGAAAACTTGCCACTTTGGCCAAGAACAACTTTCCAAACCATGAGTGGCCAACCCTGTGGATTGTAGATATTGAATTCCTGTTCTCAGTTAGCCTTATCTAAGCAGCCCCGGTCGTGCATTGGGTTAAACTTGCTGACCAAAAGGTTGGTGGTTTGAATCTGGGGAGCGAGGTGAGCTCCTGTTGTCAGCCCCAGCTTCTGCCAACCTAGCAGTTCGAAAACATCCAAATACGAGTAGATTAATAGGTACCACTTCGGCGGGAAGGCAACAGCGCACCATGCAGTCATGCCAGCCACATGACCTTGGAGGTGTCTACAGACAATGCCAGCTCTTTGTCCTAGAAATGGAGATGAGCACTACCCCCCAGTCGGACATGACTAGACTTGTCATGGGTAAACGTTTACCTTTACTATAAGACTTATCTAGCTAATGGGCAATGATAAATGACAATGTAAGTTGTAAACCAAGACCTTTCTGAGGGATATTTTCTTCATTCTTCCAAATTGTTTTGATTTTTTTAAAAATATAAAGCCACGTATGTTTCTAATTTACTACCCCACAAACTATTCATATATTGGCAGGTTAACATAGCCATCTGAAAGACTGCTTTGCATTGAATGGGGATTTCATTAGGTGTTTTTCCCCCTTTTCCTCATGTGTGAGATGTTTTAAAGTCATCTATCCCCCCTCCCCCCCCCCAAAAAAAAATCCACAAGAGAATTTACAACATTCCAGTATGCCTCGGTGTTGGCAAGTACTCTTTTCAGTCCAGGTACCTGATGATGATTGATGAAGCTGTCAGCTTGTACAGTAGCACACCGAGCAGCTTGGCAGAGGTTCAGTGTTATTGAAAGAAATCACAAATACTTATTCCATCTCCTCTGCTCACTTTAATCACATTATCAACAGGCTGCCAGGATGGAGCCTTGACACTAAGCCATACAATTCATACAGGCAACCATTGTTGGCCTACGGTAGGCGCAACACAGTTGAATCATTTTGTCTTACATGTGCCGATTTTACATACTGCCTAGCTGTTGAAATAAGACTTGTATTGTCAAACGCTTCCATGGCTGGAATCACTGGGTTGTTGTAGGTTTTTTAGGGCTATATGGCCATGTTCTAGAGGCATTCTCTCCTGACATTTCGCCTACATCTATGGCTAGCATCCTCAGAGGTAGTGAGGCGAAACATCAGGAGAGAATACCTCTAGAACATGGGCATATAGCCCGAAAAAACCTACAACAACCCAAAATAAGACTTGATTTTCCTGCCAGCCTATCAGCTTTCATCTTGACATTAATGCATTTTTAAAGAAAGTTAGGTTACAAAAGGGTAATCAAAAAACTTCTTTTTATTATGTTAATATTTAAACTTCTGATATGTAAAGCTCTTCCTTTCGATTGAAAACTATTTAATCTGCCACAGTAACAGAAAGTAGGCAATTTAACATTAAGTACTGTCACGGATACAAGTTTAGACACAGTGCCCAACAAAATTTATTTAACAGACCAAACAAGACTGTTATTCTGTATACAATGAACCGCCAGCAGGACAAATATCTAGATGGCAGTTAAATAATATTTGAGAAATAGGTTGGCAGTCCACTCATTTTCATGATTTTATTTTGTCAAAACATATAATCTGGAATGATAACTTCTTTCTAAAGGATACTAAGCTGACAACTTTACCAGCATCAAGAATTTGTTCAAAAACTTCAGAGCATTATTTTTCCACAGCTTTGTGGGACTACACAGCTACAGTCCTGCTGTAAACCAACAAGCCCATCACCAAAAATTTGTGCTCTTTGGGAAAAAGTAGTCTGAATGTTATTTGAATGACCTGCATGAAGAAGATGAGTGCACAAAGCAAGAAATGGGTGCTAGTCTAGTTTGCTAAAGAATAACAGTATTTTGACTCCAAAATACTCTGGGTTTTCTTAAATTACATAGAACATGATTATTCAGTGCAAGAGGTAAATTATAATAGCCACCCAGGTGTTTTGTTTTTGCTATTCCTGGTATAGTGCATGAACTCCAGCCACCCAGGAATTGGGAAAGATTGGAATATTATGAGAATAAGACAACAATACTGTAAATGAACAACATTCTCATTGTGAATGAGTTCTTTTTAAATAGTACGTTTGGCCAAGTCTTTTTCCATTGCAGAATATTGTTCTTTAAGGCGCTCCATGGCTTTTGTGTGTTCTTCATCCACAACTGCTTTTATGTTCTGCTGTTCCTTCATGAATTCCTCCCACAGTTCTCTACGTTGAGTTTCGTCTGCCATGAGTTTTTCAATCTGAAGCTGAGAAGAAAACGGAAGTAATAAATGAATTTTCTGGAAAGGGATGGGTAGTTTATAGGGCAGAATGTTTGATCCAGTTGACAGGATGTGGGAGAAAATCAACAGGGGATCTCAGACGTAATCGTCATAGAGCCGGATGGGTGACAAAAACAAACATACAAAAACGGTTCTGTCAATGCTGAAGGTCTGGGTTGTTGTAGGTTTTTTGGGCTGTTTGGCCATATTCTAGAAGCATTCTCTCCTGACATTTCACCTGCATCTATGGCAGGCATATTCAGAGGTTGTGAGGATGCCAGACTTCACAACGATGCCTGCCATAGATGTAGGCAAAATGTCAGGAGAGAATGCTTCTAGAACATGGCCATACAGCCCGAAAAACCTACAACAACCCAGTGATTCCGGCCATGAAAGCCTTCAACAATACAGAGTGGGGGGTCTATTTCTATTTTATCCCAATTGCTAATTGGAGCAGTTTTCGTGAGGAGAAAACAAACAAAAAATGTGCAGATCTGAGAGGCAATCTGTAACAAAATGTTTACAGTGAATTTTACAGTAAGAGTCCGATGAATCTTATCTGTGACAACCTTCTTTCATACTTTGAAAACTATAGCAGACCAAGATTCAACAGCAATCAAGGATTCAATTGTGTAAAAATTCAAATAATTTTTGACTAGTAAACCCAGATTTTAGTTTGCTCTTACAAAATGTCTTAAAGTATCTTTCTATTTGTGTTTAAGCATTGTTATTACTGAGAGCAATATCTTATTGTCTTGAGTATAAATTATTTGTACACTTTCACAGAATAAGACACAGCACATAGGAAATTAAAGTAAATCAATCAACCACAATTTTCTGTTTAATTAATCACTTGTAAAAACAAAGAAACAAAACAATAACCTCTAAATACCAACATATAGTAAGTGATTGGTTTTTCTCTGGAATGGTAACACAAAATATTTCATTTAAAAATGGAGCAACCAACAACTTCCCTGTTTAACAGTCTCTCAATATTAACTTTAGTAAAATATATACAATGTATTATAACCACTCCCCCTGTTTTTGATCTGCATCTTTTTAAAAAAGGTACTTTGGACTATAAAAATTCTGTATGTCATGGCTGCCATTTTTCATCTCAGATACGCACCATTTAGAATCAAGTGGTGCAAATGAAAAGTAGTGTAATGAAAAAATAAGCTGACCAATGATGCACATAAATGAAGGAAAGCCATCAATGAGGGAAAAATGGCTTTCCCAGGATAGCAGAGAAACTGGAAAGGAAATCTGCTGAGTAAAATAAAGCTGACTGTAACTAAAAAAAAATAAATCAACAGTTACAATTACCTGTTTTTATTTTATTTATTTATTTATTTCTCACATTTCTACTCTGCCCTTCTCAACCCCTGAGGAGGGACTCAGGGCGGCTTACAAAAGGCACAATTCGATGCCAACACAAACAGTAAGATAAAAATAAAACATATAAACAGTAATTAAGACAATATACGTGAGTATAAGCCAACCCAAGGCACTTAATTTTACCACAAAATACTGGGAAAACATATTGACTCTAGCATAAGCCAAGGGTGGGAAATGCAGCAGTTACTGGTAAATTTCAAAATAAAAATAGATACCAATACAATTACATTAATTGAGGCATCAGTAGGTTAAATGCTTTTGAATATTTACATAAAATTGTAATTTAAGAGAAGACTGTCCAACTCTGATTAAACCATTATTCTAACCTTCTTCAGTGTAAATGTGCTTACGTATTCTTCCAATAATAATAGAGTAAAATAATAAATGTAATCTATATAAATAAAAATGTAATGTTCGTTTGTGGGATTAACCTAACTCGAAAACTACTGGATGAATTGACACCAAATTTGGACACAATACACCTCTCAGGCCAACAAGTGAGCATCACTCACAAAAACACTGAAAAACACAGCGGAAGAGACTTCAAAAGCAAAAAAAACCCCACATATATTTACAGCACATGCGCAAAACCACACATATATATGGAAACACACATGTATACACATGTACAGAAATATATACACACACAAAACACATATACACAGACTGGGCCACAGCAATGCATGGCAGGGGACGGCTAGTAATAATAATAATAATAGAGTAAAATAATAGAAATGTTATAATAACAGTAATATTAGAGTAAAATAATAAATGCAATAATAATAATAATAAATAGAGTAAAATAATACATATAATAAAAATAATAATAAGAGTAAAATAATGAATAACTTTGACTCAAGTATAAGCTCAGAGGGGCTTTTTCAGTCTAAAAAAATGCTGAAAAACTCAACTTATACTCGAGTATATATGATAAGCCATAAAGCTGCATACAATGAGAGTGACATGGTAAAGAAAACAAGGATGCAGGTCTATGATTTGTGACACATGTTCAGTGTATATTGATATCAATCAACACCAAAACCTCCCCATAGCAGAGAAAGAGAGATGAAGAACCAGTAACTTATGTGAATACTACAACATGGTCCGCATGGGGATATCTTGTCCTCTTCAAATCATGGCTGTAACATATTGAATAATGCATGAATAACATATTTCTCTGAATAATGATAAGTAAATATTCCAAAACCTGGATCAAGATATACCATGTTAGTTCAGAGGAAAATCTCCCTTGGCCAAGTAGCTAAAAATGTTTGGGGTTACTTTTGTAATTTACGCACTATCAAGAAATGACTATGTTGAGGACTTTAATTGGCAAAATGTGATAACAGAATCATATTACGAACAGGGTTTGTAGATATCCCAGTTAATTCACCACATTTCTCACAGCTCAGATTCCACCAAAACTGACTGCTATTCCAATCAACTTCTGAAAATCTGCTTTCTAAACTAGGTGAAGCTATTGGTGTATAAGTGGTAACTTTCACTGCGGTTACATTCAAACTAGAAGTTGCCACCAGAGTATGAAGCTGGTTTACAGGTGATTGTGGAGATAAACATGGTTAGCATTAATGTTGGTGAAGATTTCAAACTGCAACATGCTTAACTTCAAAAAGAATATGAAATTAATGTGTTAAAACTGGAACAAAGAAAATATGTAAGCCTTCAGTTCATTCCCAATCTCTTTGACCAATTTAGAGGGTAAGAAAATGTTATATCTGCAATATGTCTAGTAGTGTTTTGCTATCATTCATCATACTGATACAGATATAAAATACATTCAGTATAGTACCAACTTATGTACACACTGTCTCTATTAGCGCCAGACAAGCTGAACAGGTCGCCTATTTGTTATAGTGAGGTTCAGCATTAATATGGAGACTTAGCGTCTTGCACAGTTTTTCCTAATCCTGAGGTTTTAGAATATCTGTATTACAAACAAGCCATGTGCAGCCATGTGAGAGATTCCAGTGAGTCACATGTTCTTATAATATGGCCTTTCATTAAATAACATCCACAAGTATGAAACACTTCCATTTCAATAAGGATATTCATAACGTGTTCACTCTTTTCAAGTGACGGGCAAAGATTTACATTTCCATTCTGTTGGGTATTTTTTGTTCCACACAAAATAAGGATTTGTGTTTCTTTAGTCATCCCGTTCCCTTTTCTCCAGCTGTGAAGGAAATTCTAAGGAAAACTTTCCATATAGACAGAAAGCGTAAATGGGTGTAATAAGTACATTATTTTTATAGCATTTCGGAATGCACTTGCTAATGGTGGCTTTATCTTTCTACATTAGCTCCAGCCTTTATAAAAGGAGATGTGCCAAAAAGATTCTTTAGTAATACAAAAGTGCTGTGAAACTCAAGGCTCTTCCAAATTAGTACATAATGGTATAGATCTGAAGGGAACTGAATGCTCATTTCATCTGTAAAGTCTTCATAATACACAATTGTAGAATGGCAGCTATTCCCAAACAGATGTGTGTAAAGCCAAAAAAGTGGAAGAAAAGTCAACATATGGTTTGGATTAATAAATTATCTCTGGATAAAAGGTTTTGCATTACTTCCAAGGCAATCAGCCACTGCAGTTTCTTGAGCAAAGCATAAAGCACCTTGCACTGGTTCATAATCGCAGTAGTACAGTGGTTAAAGCTGCTAGCTGCAGGAAAGGCTGCTGACTGAAGGGTCAACAGTTCAAAGCCACGAGTTGGGGTGAGCTCTAGCCCTAGCTTCCACCTACCTAGCAGTTCAAAACTACACAATGCAAGGAGATCAATAGGTACTGCCTCGGCGGGAAAATAAAAGGGTGCCCCATGAAGGCAAAAAGCTCGAAGAAGTCTATGGATAGAAGGCTCCTTTGGCATGGAAAATGGAACAAGAGCACCTCCACATAGCTGGAAGTTGAGCATCGCCTCCAGATGCCGGAGATGGAAAAGAGGGAAGGCCTTTATCTTATTTGTGTATTATATGTTGTTGTTCATGTAAAATGGCACTGAATGTTTGCCTTATATGTGTACTGTAATCATTCTGAGTCCCTCTGGGGAGATAATGCAGAATGTAAATAAAGTGTGTTGTTGTTGTTATTATTATTATTGATTCCTCTATTATATCATATGTCTAGCACTCTATTCTACTTTGCAAAAAAAGTTAAAGGATAACAAAATCTCATTTAGTACAGCATAATACCGTAACATTATGGAAAGTGGAACAGAACCATGGCAAAAAACCTGAAATCAATGATTTGCTATACAACAAAAATGCAAAATATTACAAGAATACTTAAGACTCTAAATTACAGGTATCATATTTGAAAAAGTTATCACGTTAATCTTTACCTGTCTTTCTTCCTGCTCTCTCTGCTGCAGTCGGTTGATCATTTCATTTGCTATCTGTACTGAAACAGAAGTGACGTTCTTTCAATGAACATTCTTGTTCCAACATATATATTTCTAACAAGATCAAGTTGAACCCTGACAATATGTGTGTAAGTGCCTTCAAGCTTTCCCGCAATTTATGGGTCTAATAACTGCATTATTTTATAGCATTTCATATAAATATAGCATTTAAAACATTCATAGTGATTTATTCCCTTGAAACAGGTTAAGCCTAACAATGTCCCATATTTGGTTAATATTTTTCCTTCTTGGATATGCATACGGTATTCACATCTAGTGCCAACCTTGCTCCTTCCCAGCCACAAAGTCCTAACCGGGCCGGGCCTTAGCACAGCAAATTAACCACCAGCTGCAGAAAATCTTGCCAATCAAAAGGTTGACAGTTTGGGTCAGTGTGAGTTCCTGGCTTTTGGCCCAGCTTCTGTCTACCTAGCAGTTTTGAAAGCAAAATGTGAGTAGATAAATAGGCACTGCTTAAAGCAGGGAGGTATTTAAGGCACCCATAAGGAAATGCTGGTGATTCGATCAAGGAGGAAGTTTAAGAACAAAACTCTTTCGTAGGGGAGATGGAGTGACAGCACCCCCCCTCCCCGTGGCTGAAACTGAGCACAAGCCTCCAACATGCCTAAGATGGGAAAAGCCTATATATACCTCTATCTACGTACAATTGTCTGTCTTGTCAATGTATAAACGTCATTGAATGTTTGTCATATATGTGATCTTTGATCCACCCTGAGTCCCCATCGGGGTGAGAAGGGCGGAATATAAATACAGCAAATAAATAAATCATCTGAATTCAATGAGTATTTGACATGACCAACCATTACTAGCTTCAGTCAAAATGCATAGGTAAATATTAATGCCCATAAAGAGGAGATATTAAAAACTGTATGCTTTTCATGGGGACATCCCAACTCCTCAAAAAGGACTGTATTTTAAATGGACACAGGCTGAACATATCCTTGCATAGACCTCAATCAAATGGGACATTTGACTACCTTTTAAGATGAATTTCAGAAGTTGAATTGGGAGGTGAAACATAACCACAACATTGTGCCTGTGTGCCTGATGCAGCATCTTGGCCAACTTTTCCAAATCTGTTATTTACTTTCTATGCAAACTTATTATTTATGACTTGTTAACAAAAACAAGGGTCAGCAGTAATAAAATAGTTAACTACATCAGCATTTGCTGATATACATTACTGATCACTGTTCCATTCAATGGGGTTAAAGGAGCATTTCCTCTGATATTAGTACATGTGTGCAAGTGGGAAAAAATATGTAAAACTGCACTACATTCTGATGTAGGGTCTGTTGTCAGCTCAAATAATGGAATAGTGCTAAATTTGCACAATATTTTATAGTGGTTGGACTGAATCCATTGTTGAAATTAAATATGTGAAATTTTTTCAAAGAAAAAAGCCTCAAAGTAAATAAATATCGTATATACTCGAGTATAAGCCGACTCGAATATAAGCCGAGGCGCTTAATTTTACCACAAAAACTGGGAAAACAGATTGACTCGAGTATAAGCCGAGGATGGGAAATGCAACAGATACTGGTAAATTTCAAAATAAAAACAGATACCAATAAATTATATTAATTGAGGCATCAGGAGATTAAATGTTTTTGACTATTTACATAAAACTGTAATTTTTACATAAAACTTGCTTACCCTTCCAATAAAAATAGAGTAAAATAATAAATGCAATAATAACAACAATAATAATAGAGTAAAATAATAAATGCAATAATAACAATAATAAAGTAAAATAATAAATGTAATAATAATAATAATAATAATAATACATTTATTACATATTTATAATAAATAACCTTGACTCGAGTATAAGCCGAGAGGGACTTTTTCAGCCCCCCCAAAAGTCTGAAAAACTAGGCTTATACTTGAGTATATACAGTAACTTCAAGCTTACATCTCCTGAGGGCTTCATTTAGATTTTCATGCATTACTTCTTCACACTTTGGCAGAGTTTGATCATTTGCCTCAAAAACAGTGCTCTTTAAGTTTTCAAGAACCCGTACTTCCCGGAGACCACGTTTTTCCTATTGGGAAAAAGTCAAAAAGGGAAGGGGACATTCTCAACATTTATCAAGTTTGAATTATTTGCTGACATACATAAAAGAGTCAATTAAATTGTTCATACGAGCTGCATTTTGTCCAGGCTTGCCACACTTGGGAATAAGTCTCGCTAATTCAATGGGACTTAGTTTTAATTTAATGCTTCAAAATGTATTCAAGCACATTGCGGTAATTTTCTATTGTAGCTAATATTCTCTATTGGGAACACTCTATTTTATTAAAACAATGAATGAGTCTCCTGTTGGGAGAAAGACAGGATACAAATTAAGTAAATAAATACATAAGAAAAAGGGACACAAGAGACTGAGTACTATTAATAGAGTTTGGTCCCACATGTCCTTCTTCCTAATCTTGATAAGGTTCTGCTGCCCTCTTGTGGCAAATGTATTTAACAGTATGATTAATTATGTATAACGCTATGTAACACAATTTTTGTTCCTGGGTTATAAATGTCATTTTCTAATTGGTTCTATCATCAAAACATGGAAAAGGTTTATTAAACTGCAAAAACTTTGTTTTTGCGGGACATCCTGCGGCACATTTTGCTACATTTTTTCAATGAATATCTCATAGAGTCTCAACCAATCAACATAGTTTGTGGCCATCACAAAATATAAAGTTTCTGGTGTATAATAGCTACTTTCAAACTAATTACTGCACAATAAAACAGGAAATAACACTTTCAAACCAGGAACAGAAATTTCTTTAATTTTGTTACATAATGTAATTATTCTTATTTAACATTTTAAAAATTACAGTTTGGGTTATATTCATGGTCATTCAAATGATGATACATTATTTCAGGCAGACAAGAATATTTTAAGCCACAGATATATGTAAGTTCTAGTTACCTAAAGGCAAACATAAGATTCTCAAATTAGGATTCCTGTTTTTTATTTTTTGCTTTTTTTTGGGGAAGATTTGGCATGCTCCAAAGTTAATTTAAAAAATACTGTTGATTTTGATATATTTTGGACGTGCACTTTTCTACACAGTGACTCACAAACTTTAAAAAACATAAAATAAATTCATGAAAAACTATTTCATTCAAATCTTTGAAAGTTCAGAACGATCTTCTTCCCTTTTTCCAAGGTACATTATTTCAAAACATGTAAATCTCAAACCTACTTCAAATTCTTTAATGAAATAGCGAATTTCTCCTTGAATAACTGGTCTGTGATCCAAAAGTCGTGAATATATTTCTCCAACATCTATAAGAAAGGTAATGAGGCACATTAACAATGAACAAAAATGTGTTTGGAATGTTTATAATGACTGATGAAATGAACCAGAGTAATCCTTCTCTCTACCATTTACCTTCCCCTTTTCCCTTCTATCTCTTCTTCACTGATCTTCTCTTCAATTTTATAAGAGAAGCAGGGATGGAACTGCATTCAAAGCCACTTTTATACTGCCATGTAAACTTCAGATTATTTGCTTTGAAGTGGATTATATGGCAGAGTAGACTCATGTAATCCAGTTCAAATCAGATAATGTGGGGTTTCCACTTTGATAATCTGGATTATTTAGCAGTGTATCTGCCAGGAGTGCTTTGACAGTGTACTTCTGCACAGCAGCAGGGGTTTGGACTGGATGGCCCCTTTCGATCATCTGGAGAGGCCCTGCTCACGCTCCCACCTCCATCGCAGGCGCAATTGGTGGGGATGAGGGAGAGGGCCTTCTCAGTAGTGGCCCCTCGACTCTGGAAACTCGCTTCCCAAGGACATCCGGGATACCCCAACTCTGGCAATCTTTAGGAGGAGTCTGAAAACATGGTTGTTCCAGTGTGCTTTTCCAGAATAACTGAAATTCTCAGCAATATGTCCTGAAAATGCACTTTATTGTTGATGTAGGATTGATTTGCACGCCTTATCCCCTCCAAAATTTCTATCCCAGTTATATCCTACCTTACCCATGCCCAGCATTATTTTTTAAATTTTTAATTTTACATTTGGCCCAGCCATAGGTTTTTAATTGCTTGTTATGTTATTGTATTGCTTATTTTATTTCTGTTTATGAGATATATTTTAACTGCTTTGTATTGTTTGTTTGCTATTGCTTTATTATTGACTAGCTGTCCCCTGCCAGGCATTGCTGTGGCCCAGTCTGGTGATCTGGAAAATAAACTAATGAGAAAGTGTTGGTTTCTAATATATGTAATTTCTTTATGCTTGTGGGTAAACAGTATTTCTTGTTGTTTCTTTGCCAGTGTTGATGTGGAGAGTGTCTGGTTTGCCTACTCTGGAACATATCATAGTCCTTCTTTAGGGGTCCCTTTCAAATCTATACTATATCTGTGTGTGTGTGTGTGTGTGTGAATCATATATCTATCTATTATCTATGGCTGGATGGCTCTTTGTCTGGAGGGCTCTGATTACTTGTTCATGGTGAAGAGAGTTGGACTGGATGGCCTTAAGTATTTTCTGTTGGTCATGGGGGTTCTGTGTGGGAAATTTGCCCCAATTCTGTCATTTGTAGGATTCAGAACGCTCTTTGATTGTAGGTGAACTATAAATTCCAGTAACTACAAATCCCAAATGTCAAGGTCTATTTCCCCCAAACTCCATCTGTGTTCATATTTGGGCATATGGAATATTCATGCCAAATTTGATCCAGATCAATCATTGTTTGAGTCCACAGTGCTCTCTGGATGTAGGTGAACTACAACTCCCAAACTTAAGATCAATGCCCACCAAACCCTTCCAGTATTTTCTGTTGGTCATGGGAGTCCTGTGTGCCATGTTTGGTTCAATGCCATAATTGGTAGAGTTCAGAATGCTCTTTATAGGTGAACTATAAATTCCAGCAACTACAACTTCCAAATGACAAAATCAAAAAAATTTGAGTGAAGGACATACATTGGGTTGTTAGGTCTATGCTGTCCAAATTGGTGTCAATTCGTCCACTGGTTTTTGAGTTCTGTTAATCCCACAAACGAACATTACATTTTTAATTATATAGATGTATTGTGGGCTCGGCCTCATGTAAGCCGCACCGAGTCCCTTGGGAGATGGTAGCGGGGTATAAATAAAATTATTATTATTATTATTATTAGGGTCCCTTCCAGGAGCCCCCGGTGGCACAGTGGGTTAAACCCCTGTGCCGGCAGGACTGGAGACCAACAGGCTGCAGCTTCGAATCCAGGGAGAGGCGGATGAGCTCCCTCTATCAGCTCCAGCTCCTCATGCGGGGACATGAGAAAAGCCTCCCACAAGGATGATAAAAACATCATATTATCCGGGCGTCCCCTGGGCAACGTCCTTGCAGACGGCCAATTCTCTCACACCAGAAGCGACTTGCAGTTTCTCAAGTCGCTCCTGACACGACAAGACCAAAAAAAAAAAAAAGGTCCCTTCCAACCCAATTATTCTAGCTATGCTGTTCTCAGGTTAGTGTAGAAAAGTGGCACTAACGATATAAACATTAAAATCCCTTGTCTGTATGTGAGAGAAGCAGGTTGTTGCATTGCGTAAATTTAGATGTTTTACAAACATATTTGCTATGCAGTATATTGAAAATCAACAGCATTATTAAGCAGAGGTTTTTGAAATATACATAATTTGATCATATCCTGGGAATGCCTGCAATCCAAAACATGCTCATGTGAAATTGAATCCTGCTGAGCTCTGTGCATCTGCCACTTCACTCTTGTCTTAAGTTTCATGTTTGCACTCTATCAGAATAGGGAAGAGAAGGTCCCAACAGCGCATGCGCGCCTGTTGAGCACTCACTACTGCCGCGCATGCGCCAGCTCAGTCAACCACAAGCAAAGAGGAAGGAGCGTCGGTGAATGCCAGCGCCGCTTGCCTTTTAAAATAGGCTGGGATGACGCCGACCCCAACGAATCCCGCTTCTTGCTGCTGCCACCGGAAAACGGAGACTCGCCGGTTTTGTTTGGGCTCGGAGTCGCGCTCGCAGGACTGCCGCCGCTGCTCATCTCTGAAGCGGCCTTCGGACTCAATGCGCATGCGCAGAGTTAGGACGCTTAACGAGTACTACGCATGCGCAAAGACTGTCTTTGCTCTGCGTGAGAAAAAACTGGTGGAGGGAGATCCCGTTGTGACGTCACTCTTGCTGGGCAGTTCCAAACTAATGCACACCTCTGGCTGAAAAAGAAGCAAAGTGCCTCCTGATTCCAGAGCTCAGTGCTCTGGAATCATGGGAGTTGTAATTTGTTGTGGCCAAAGCACTGTTTGACAGAGAAGGGGAAGTCTAATAAAACTACAGCTCCCAGGATTCTATAGCATTGAGCCATGGCAGATAAAGCGGGATCAAACTGCATTAATTCTATAGTGTAGATGAATCCTGCATTTCCTTCAGCAGCATAGATGTGAAGAAGCTTTGGTTATCCTGAGAATGTAGGCTATCATTGCCATAATGCCTCACTCAGGCCTGTAGCCAGGATTTTGATTGGGACTGGGGGGAGGGTGAGGATCTACCCTAGCAAACCTTTTGTATCGTTATCCCAATACGCCCATGCATATGGGATACATTGAGTATGGTGATCGGGTCATTATATGAATAAACATAGCAGTTTAAATAATGTACCAGTAAGGTCTTCACATGGACCACCCTGAGAATTGGGGGGGGGGGGGGGCTGAAGCCCAAGTGTGCCCCTCCCCCCCAGCTACATGCCTGCCCTCACTGTTTGTTTATTTATTTATTTACGATATTTATAGCCTGCCTTTCTCAGCCATACGGCGACTCAAGGCAGGTTACAGATTGGCACCATTCAATGTCAGGCATTCATAAAAGTGCCATTAAAAACAATCAACATTACAATATAAAACATAAATAAAAACCATTAAAGCATATAATCATCAGTGTCATCTTGTTGAAAGCGTTATCCAGTAACGCCATTCCATGTTCATCATTCATAGTTCCACATTATCTATTCCGCGTTATCTATTATGCATTCTCAAAAGCTTGCACAAAGAGCCAGGTCTTTACTTTTTTTTGGAAAGTCAGGAGGGAGGGGCCTATCTAATATCCCTGGGGAGGGAGTTCCATAGCCGGGAGGCCACCACTGAGAAGGCCCTGTGCTTCATCTCTGCCAATCGCACTTGCGAGGCAGGTGGGATTGAGAGCATGGCCTCCCTAGACAATAGGGAGGAGATACTGTTAGCAGTACAGGCTATGGATAATAGTCCAAAACTTGTGATTTGCACAAGGCTCCTGTGTGATTTTTTAAATACCTATAGTGCAACCCAGTACCCTTTCCCAGCTCTCATTTGGCATAATTATTGTCATCATTTGTTTACATCATACCATCAATGTATAGCAATTTACAAATGAAAGGAAAAAACAAAAACACCCATCTCCACCAAAGGTGTTCAGCCGTATATATGTCTCTTCAGACATTTTAGGCAAAAGAGAGCTTTTGGGTGTGTAAACTAAAAACTCTTAACGCCAGATGGTTTCAACTTGAGAGGATAATACCAATATCCATTAAGAAGTTGATTATATATCTATATCTATAGATAGATAGATAGATAGATAGATAGATAGATAGATAGATACAGAGAAATGCACTCTGCTGTCCATGGATTCAAATAGATAGATAAACAGACAGACAGACAGACAGATACACAGAAATGCACTCTGCTCTCCATGGATTCTGCACCCATGGATTCAACCATTCATGGGTTGAAAGTCTATATGAAAAAAAATCCAAAAAGCAGACTTTGATTTTTCCTTTTTAAATAAGGGGCACATAATCGTTGTACATAATAGAACTTGAGCATCCATGGATTTTGGTATCCACAGGGAATCCTGGAATCAAACCCTAGCAGATCACAAGGATCCACTGTATGAAGGCTATTGGTTGTTTTGCCCATATACTGGAGATGACAGCCTGTTTGTTAGCATTCAGTCACTGAAATGTATACAAGCTATCTACAACCAGAACTTAATAATGTATATCAAGAGCAAACGCTTGGGCTGCTTCTTTGATTGCTAAAGATATATTATTATATAAGTGTCGGCCTGCTTTTGACAGTTGAGCTAATCAAGTTAATTAGGCCACAAGGAGAGGCGGGTTAGAAATACAGTTGTTTATGTATTTACTTACTTCATTTATATATTACTCTTTTCACACTTGGAGGGACTCAAGGTGGTTCCCAACATATGACAAAATTCAATGCCTTACAAAACATGAAAACCTAACATAAAACAACAGTAACATCAAATTATCAATTAAATAATAAAACCTAACTACATTAAAACATTAAAACAAGGGATTAAAAACATATTAATATAAACATTAAAATTATATGATCCAAAATCATGGTCCAGGCTATTCCAGTATCAAATAACAATTGCACACAATCCGTGTTCGTTTCTTGTCCTTCTTATTGCCCAAATGTTTGGTTTCACAGCCATGTTTTTGCTTCCCCGCTTAAAGCCAAGAGGGAGGGCGCTGATCTAATTTCATTGGGTAGAGCATTCCATAGATGAGGGTCCACCACAGAGAAGGCCCTGTCTCTCGTCCCCACCAGTCGTACCTGTGAAGGAGGTGCAGGGCCTCTCTGGACGATCTTAATCTCCAAAGTGGCTCATAGAGGGAGATATGTTCGGACAGGTAAGCTGGGTCGGAACTGCTAGGGTTTATAGGCTAAAGCCAGCACTTTGAATTGTTCTTGGTAGCAGATTGGCAGCCAGTGGAGCTGGTGTAACGGGAGTTGTGTGCTTCCTGTACCCCGCTCTGGTGAGCAATCTGGCTGCTGCCTGTTGGACCATTTGAAGCTTCTGAACAGTCTTCAAAGGCAACCCCACATAGAGTGTGCTGTAGTAGTTTATTCGGGATGTAACTAGCACATGGACTACCATTTTTGTGTGCCTTCAAGTAGTTTTTGTCTTAGTTTAGGGCAGGGGCCGGGTAAATGACCTCAGAGGGCTGCATCTGGCCTGTGGGCCTGAGTTTGGGGACCCTGCACCAAATATATATACTTTTAATGATTAAGTGCATCTTTCTTGGATCCAGGATAAATATGAGTGATGTGTTGTTGATCTGTCTGTCTGTCTATCTTATCTATCTACTAGAGCATTGCAGCACACCCAAATACCTGGGAGTTACCCTGGACCGTTCTCTGATCTACAAGAATCACTGCCTGAATCTCAAGCAAAAAGTGGGCACCAGAAACAATATCATATAAAAGCTTACTGGCACAACCTGTGGATCACAACCAGATACAGTGAAGACATCTACCCTTGCGCTTTGCTACTATGCTGCTGAGTACGCATGCCCAGTGTGGAACACATCTCACCACGCTAAAACAGTGGCCAGGTACTGGTCAAAGGACATTTAATAAAATACCAAGTTTCTAAACTTTGTGTTTTCTCAAATGCATTGGTTAGCTCCTGATACGATATCCAGCCAGCCAGCCAGCCAGCAAGCTATCTTAGACTCTCAGTTAACTGTTAACTCAAGCAACTAAAACTCTGAAGCAACTGGCAAAAAACTGAATAGTTTAAATAAAAATTAAAGTAAAACCAATTTTTATAATACAGTAAAATCAGTTTTTATAATACAGTAAAATTGTTACATTAAGTCAAATGTGTCATTATTTCTCTTAATTTGCTTTTTTTGTTGCTGTATTTCAGTATATCAAGTCTACAGAGTTTATGATATTGTATAGTATGGAGTATATTATATTTTAATAGTAACTCTCAAGAAATTAGAAACTATATATATCTGGCATCTACCAAACCCCATGTGTGCTGGTTAACTAAGAGTCTGTCTGTCTATCTGTCCATACACACACACACACACACACACATATATTCACACACACATGTACACATAGGGGAAGGAAGGAGTAACACAAAGTGTAAAGCAAATTGTTGAGATAGAAAAGTACAATATAAAGCAAACTGGAAAATACATATAACCAAATTATAAAACAATATTAAAATAACATTCCAAAAGCTTTGGAAAATAATTTTGAAGTACTGAAGTATTTTTTAAAAATGTATAATTATTACTTCACTTTTAACCACCATGAATTCTGAAAACCAAAATACTCCAAAACCCCAAATTATCTGCATGGATGGCTAAGGTAGCGACATTGCTGCCTCCTGATGGTTTCATGTACAAAACCTTTGTTTTTAAATAATTAAATATGTTGTGCATCTTCAGGTTACGTGTGTAAGGTGTATATGAAACATGAATGAAATTTGTGTTTAGACTTGCGTAGCCATCTCCAAGATCCCCCCACCTTCTATATATATCCCCTGCACACACAGATGCAGTCTTTTTGCTATTGTGCCAAGGCATACAGGTAGCTGTCAGCCTTGCTTTAAAAGGTCAGTACAAAGCAAAGGTGATAACAGGCAATGAAGCAGAGAAAGTGAGTACCATATATGCTGTGAAATACGAGGCTCCTGGCTGCAGATATTTGTCATTTGCCCCTAGATAGTAAGTTGCATGATCATTGCCCCCAGATAGTCAGTTACAGTGCTCCAGTGGTCCTAGCAACATCCTAATAGTTGTTTTAGGGCACAAAATCAAGGTGTTTCTTTTTATTTCACTGTAGTCACCAAGAAAATATTTTTAGAATTGTCTTGCTTCTGGAGATATAACTTCACAACTACTGAATGTAGATGGATGCCTTGTACCTTTGCACCACAGTTCTCTGGAGGAAAGGACTCTTGTGTCACCTTTACCATAATCAAATCACTCTTCTAGCATAACTGTATAGCTCAGGCAACCATACTTAGCAGTAGTGAACCTTAGGTATTTACCTTTCATATATGATTCTGTGTATTCTGCATAGGGGAAAAATCAATTGTGTGGTGTAGGGTTTTGAAACACATTAAAATCCTCTTCCATTTGAATAAATATGCTTTATATGCATAACCACAGGATTAGGTCTCTCTTTTTGTTTTTCTTTACATGCCCACATCGCCCCCCCCCCCCATTCAATACTTAGAGAAGCATTTTTTCAATGGAAAGAAGAGAAGGTAATGGTTAAAAAAG